TCTCCACATTACTCTTTTGAGGCAGGGCCTCTTGCTAAACCCACAGGCAGGCTGGTGGCCAGCATGCCCCAGAAATCTCTACCATTGAGTAGCCCTGATAGAGGGCTTGTGTGACCATGCCCATCTTTTTTATATGGGTGCTGAGGATTTGAGCTCTGGTTCTTGTATCTGAGAAGGATGGATCCTTACCCACTGAGCCATCTCTCCAGCCCCAGGAGCTGACTTATTAATCACGTAGTAAATAACAATAAAGATCTTCCCCCCTTTTCTTACACACTAGGAAGTGGGCCATCCCTGGCTCAGTCTGAGTGCTGATGGCTGTCTCTGTGGTCTGCTTGCTCTTCTCTAGTGCAGCAATGCCAGAAATCTCGACACAGGCAAGAAACTCCTGCACATGTGCATCTTCCTTGTCCTTGAGCCTAGAACTACACGCCTTGTTAGCAATTTTCTTTTGTGTGTCATAGTTTTTATTCTAAGATATCAAGAATGATTGATTTCTTCATCGTTGCATTTTGGAGATGATTAATATCATTGATTTTCTTGGAATAAGTATTCTGAAACAAAAACAGACAAAAGCCCTCACAAAACTTTCCTGTATCAGTCATTGCAGAGAAAAATTTAACACATGAAGAAAATAAACTTCTCTATAGGTTTATGTACTTCTTGAGTGAAAATGATTAAGAGTGAACTAAGCATTTTAGAGGAATAATGTACTACTTATTGAAAAGTTACATGTTGTATTAGGCAATAAGAATGTATGTCTTCCTTTAGTATTCTTTTCCTTTCAAGGAGTTTGCTGTTTGGTTAATTTGTTCCCACATAACCTTGATAGGAGGGGAATAGATTACAACATGAATACATATAAAGGGTCAGCAGTACACTGTGAAACCTTTGGCTAGACGCCAAAAGGGGATTACCAATTATTTGCTGCATTCCGATTTTGCTAGAGAAGAAACTTAAAATTAATATTAAAGCATTTTTTTTCTCTCAGAGTAATTAGAAGAGGGAATAGACCATCAGGAGGGGTGATTGAAGGAGGCAATATGTGTAAATTAGAAAACGAGTTCACAGATTCCGCAGAATACCCTGGGTAGACACACTGAATTGTCAGCACTTCTTGCTAAGTGTCATGAGGACGGACAGAGCATATGGGAAGAAATTTTAATTGTGTGCTTCTATGCTTTAGGGAGGAATTAGAAACATGATTTTTCTAATAGTTTCAAAGTGAAGATGGACCACCACACACTAATAATCTTTATCATTACTTAGAAACAATTCTTAGTAAATATAGTTCTTCAACAATTCCATACTACACCTAAAACACCTTGGGTTGTAGCCCTTCTGCCTAAGACAAGATAATGTGTACATTACATTTCTCAAAAACATGATGTCACCAGCCACAAAAATTATAAGTCCAAGTGAGTTACTTGGAATCCTTTTAAGAGAGAATTCTCGACCAAAACTTTTTCATAAGTCATTTTTCAGAAGGAATACTGCAGGTGGCTGTTCAAGAGTGAGATGTGCTGCACAGCACTGCTATGCACAGGGAAGGCAGGGAAGTGCATGTCAGTGCAGACAAGCTGAGGTCTTCCAGACTTTCCCAACCCAGTTAGGAGTTCCCATGCAGAACCAGAGACTTTCAGTCTGAACAGTCAAGAGGCTGCTCCCAGCTAGAGTTCTCATCTTGAGTGTTTCACTCTTAGTAGAACAGGCCCCTAGGACTTGCTAACAAATTTGGAAGTTTTATGAAAGCTTTAGGGCCTTGAAGGATTACTTTAAAACTCCCACACTTCTTTCTGTGGCAATTGTGTTGGCTTAAGATTGATATTCATGGTCAGGTTCAATAGATTCTCTTGTATTTCTTGTTTATGATGTTTTGGACGGAAACAGTTGTTTTGCCAAATTTTTTTAAGTTGAACTGATTGATTTGATTTATATTATAGATATTCAATTATTAAAGTATACCACATCACTGGGTGACATTTAAGTGGCTGATTATTTTTATTCACCAGCTTATTAGCATTTTCTGTGGGACTTTCATGGCCATATTCCTACCTGAGTTAGGCCTGTAGTACTGACTGACCATGACATTGCTACTCTGTTCAGGCTGAGAAATCACCTTGCTGAGAGGGCATTAGGTTTTAGCTAATTTATAAATTGTCCTCCCAGATTACTTCAGGCTCATGCCCCTCCCCCTGCCCCGTACCCCCAGAAGTTGTGCATTTGGGTTTACCAGCTTCCAAATTAACCAAGTAATATTCCCTTAACAATTACTTTATTTATTTATGTGTGTGTGTGTGTGTGTGTGTGTGTGTGTGTGTGTGTATATGTGTGTGTGCGCCACAGCACATGTGTGGAGGTCAGAGGACAGGTGGAAGGCATTGGTTCTCTCCTGCTCTGTGGGTTCTGGGGATCAGACTCAGTTGGTCAGGCTTGGCAGTAGGCTCTTTCCCTCACTGAGTCATCTTGCTGGCATTTATGTAGTTTCTATTTTTTAATGCTTGGAAATTGTTGCCTTGGCATAGGGGCCCTATGTTTCTTAGTAATTTTAAATAATTCAACCAGCAAATTCTCTAGCTTGGGAAACATTTTAAAATATCTTTTGGATATATTTTTAGAGTTTTTGCTTTTTGAATCACTTACGTTTTCATATTTTCCTGGAAATAGCTCCACTTTACTTAAATTGGTGGTTGTGGAAGCACAGTTTCCAGACCAGCAGCACCAGCAGCACCTGGGATCTTTCTGCAAGTCAGAGCCTTTTGACTGCACAGCGCCTAGACATATTGTGTCAGAAACTCCTATTTCAATAGATGCTGTAGGTGACTGTGGCACTGGTTAAAGTTCTAGACCTTCTAATTTACTAAGTTTATAGCTCACCTTATTTTTTAAAGATGATGAGTGTATATTTAGGAATATGTTATATATAAATTTAGAGATATGTGAAGTTTATATGCGTATATAACATATATAAATATGTAGAAATTTATATGTACAAAAAACTGAGGCTAAGAATTTGTGAGCAAGTGGGATGGGGGTACGTGGAAGGGAATAGAAAGAGGAAAGGGAAAGGGGGGAATGATGGAATTACATTTTCATTTCAAAAAATAAAAATAATTAAAAGAATGTAAAGCCTTACTCACATACTTAGCTGTATCCTCTCTTTAATTCTAACGTTGGAATCTCTGATGGTTAGATTATTAAGTTTGAACTACTTATTTTCACTGGCTTTTCAAATAGTCAGCTCTTGGGTTTATTTATCAGCTGGCTTTATTACCTTGTGCTACACATGAGGAACATTAATGCCAGCATTAAATAAAGTTTAATTAAAAAACAATGAGTGTTACAATAATTTTCTATAATTATAGTAATTAATCCAGATCTGTAAAATCTCTACATTTGAAGCAAAGTTTTTTCTGTGCCATACTTTTAGTTTTAATGTGTGGGGTATGGGCAAATAAAACCCAGTATCCAGAGTCTGCTACATAGAATTACTGTCGTGAGAAGCTACTTAATTGCAAATTGCTGTCTCTTGTTTGGAGAGCCTGTTCTCATCTTCTTGGGTTTATAATTTTGGAACATTGATTTTTTTTTTTTTTAGTGTCCATTATATCTTAACTTGAATAGCAGCACACAGCCTTGCTATGGGATCACACCTCTGCGGCTGCTAAGACTGTTTGCAAAGTTTCCGTGCTGTCCCCGACCCTGCTTCTGCACCAACTATGAATTTTCACTATGTAGCACAGCCTGAATTTTAAGCCACACCCTCCCCACATCTCTACCAGAGTTTGGTAAAAATAGACTCATTTTTGTATGTACATTATAGTCAGAAAGGAAGTGATCTACAAGCAGAAGCTAGACTCACCTTTTTCTAATGAATTTATTGTAGCTTTTATCCTTGCTATTTCTATTTTCTAGTTGAATTTCTAGAAGAAATTCAAATTCTTTGGTTATTTGTTTCTTAATTCAATAAAATAACACACAGCTTATCATTTTTTTCTTTATATTCTTTGAAATCTTTTTTTGTTTTGTTTGTATATAGTCATTGAATTTTGATTGGTTTGTTTATATTTAGGGCCACATCTCACTGCATCTTTTAAAAATATTTTATGAGTTCTTTGAGAATGTTATAGAATGTATTTTGATCATATTCACTGCCCTGTGGTGATTTAAATGAGAAATGTTGTCCTTGGCCGATATATTTGAATACCTGGTTCCCACTCGTCTTTGGGAGACGTGATGGGACTGTTGCAAAGCAGCCGAGGACCAGGGGTCAAGCAGCTCACCCACCCATCAGCAGCCGAGGACCAGGAAGCAGGCAGCTCACCCATCAGCAGACAGATGGGGAAAGAGGCTCTATGGAGATAAATAGACTTTTCACAGATTTTTAAAATGTCCAGCATCTTGATCTCTCTCTCGCCAAAAGACAGACTTTGTGAGTTTCTCCCTGCTGCAGGGAACTGTTCGGTGGAACTTTTGAAGTCTCCTGGATGCTTTCCTTTCCTTATCTGGATTATCCAATCCCCTACAATATCAGCAACCAGAACATTCTGAGGGAGAAATGGAATTCATCCTACCTCTAAACATATAAATCAAAGTTCTGATTTTCAGACATACTTGAAATTCCTGGTCCAGATGCCCTCTCCACTGGGAAAATTGGTCTCTTTGTATGCATTGTTGCGTGCGTTTCTGCTGTCAGGAAAACGGGGCTGAGTGCTGAAGCTTTGCTTTTCCTAGCTTCTTGTTAAATCAGCAGACAAAAGGAATCATTCCTCCAACCTCAGACCTCACCGCAAGGACATAAAAGCTTTGCTGAAGGAAGTTTCTGTGTGTGTGTGTGCGCACGCGCGCGTAGAGTTCATAGCTTCTCTCTACTTCTAGTTCATTCTCTTTGCTTTCTGAATGTGTTTGAAGATGTAAGCTCTCAATTTCTGCTCTGGCTGCCTGTTTCCATGCCTTCTCTGCCATTATGGATTCTCATTCTGGAACCCTAAGGCAAAATGAACTCTTTTTTCCATTAATTGCTTTTGGACATAACATTTTAACACAGCAACACAACTCCACCTTCTCACTCCTCTCAGATTTATGTCTTTTTTTTTTTTTTTAAAATAACTCAGGGGCCTGCCCTTAAAGAAAACTGACCCTCGCTCTTCCACGAAACGTCAACTGTTATTAGTATAAGCCCCTCCTCGAATGCTGACTGGCTGACCTTGTGCAGGCAACTACAGCTGCTGTGAGTTCATGAGTGCAATGGTCCTGTCATGCCCAGAAGACACTGTCTTGCTCCAGTCCTCTCTGACCTCTGTCTCTTACAATTTTCTACCCCATCTTCCATGAAGGTCCCCAAGTCTTATGGTGGTTGGAGGAGCCCGTGACATAGATGTCATGTTGGTGTCTGAGCACTTCACAGATGGCTGTTCTCTGCACCTTGACTGGTTGTGAGTTACTGCCTTAACTATTGCACAAAGAAACTTCTCTGATGAGGTTTGAGAGCTGAATGAATCTATGGGGATAGAGATCTGAATTTAGAGAACCACTTAATACTGTGTCTAATAGGAGTATCAGCTTTATCCCTAAGGTCAGTCGGCCACCCTTTCAACCATGGATTCTTAGCCAGATTTATAGCAACAGCCACTCATTTCCCCCTACAGTGCAGATTTAACATCCAATTGGAAAGCAGTTGGCTACTGCTATAAAATGTGTGTCGCTATTTTACTCATGGGCGTATCTTGCCACACTGTCATTATTGTAGTTCACAGGGTTCTCAGCTGTGTAAGACTTCTCCACCCCCACAGCAGCCTACATAACAACTTCTGGTACAATTAAAGCTATCCATCAGAGAAGAAGCGTCCTGGTCAGTACCAACTTCGTTTCTCTATGTTCTGTGACCAAAATTTCCCATGTCTTTAGCAATAAGGTCATTGCATATTGGTATTAATAAAAAATGCTCTCACATATTTATAGAGTTATACTTTATATACTTAACAATTTTCTCCCTTAAACTAAATTCACTGACACTTTGTATATTCACAGAATTATTGCTTCTGAAGACTCCCAAATTCTTAGTATAAGCATAATATTGCTTTTCCATGCTTCACTACATTTTGGCCAGCAACATTTTACAGTGAGTTCTGATTCCTCTTTCTTGAAGGTGATTTATTTGGGTACCCTGTCAACCAATAGCAATAGTGCCCTAGATCCTCTGTTCATTTGTTATAGGAAAACATTCTTCCTAGTACACATTGGATCCAGGTTTATGTGCATAGCTGTGAAATACTTTAATTATCTGGAAAACATTTATGTAGCTTGTTCCTTATGGACTGTAGAAAGAACTTCAACATAGCCTTCCTGGTTCTTAGGCATTTGAAACTGTGAATGAAGCCCATGTCCCCATTGAGCACATATGATTCCCTGTGTGACCCCATTAGTGTAGGTAGGTTTGATATCCTACTCTATTTGTAGAAATGGATCACAAAGGAAATCCTTTTCCAAGACTAGTTTACTTTTTGAATCTCATCCTAATTTCCAAGACGAAGGCAAGCCTAGGTATACTTTTGCTACAACTTGAAAAGATTTAAGGCAGATGACTGTTGTGGAATATTATTTTAAGGTGTGTTACTTTTGTTTATGTTGTATTTGTTTAACTCTGTGAAGGTGTGTTGCTATGCCTGTCTAAAACACTTGATGGCCTAATAAAGAACTGAATGGCCAGTAACAAGGCAGGAGAAAGGATAGGTGGCCTGGCAGGCATAGAGAATAAATAGGAGAAGAGATATGAGAGAAGAGGAAGAAGTAGCCAGAGAAGGAGGAGGACATCAGGGGCCAGCCACCCAACTACACAGCAAGATATGGAGTAAGAGTAAGATTTACAGAAAGAGAACAGGAGAAGCCGAGAGGCAAAAGGTAGATGGGTTAATCTAAAGTTAAGGAAAGCTGGCAAGAAACAAGCCAAGCTAAGTCTGGGTGTTCATAATTAAGAGTAAGCCTCTGTGTGATTTGTTTGGGATCTGGGTGGCAGGCCCCCCAAAAGAGCAAAAACAAACAACATTTTGGCATACCAATGTGGTGCTTGAATATCCCTAGGGCATGAAAAAGCTGAAAAGAAAAAAAAGGGATACGGCTCCTTTAAGAGTTTCAGCTGGACAATTTCTGCCAGTCAGCAAGCCCTTGAGCAGCTAGTACCTTAAGTAGGAACAAAGAACTAAGTAAAGATGCCTGCCATAGTGCAAGCATCAGCATTCTAGAACTCTAGGAAGGTTGAATGCAGTTCCTGGTCACTAACCTCCAACCAGGCCATGAGTTTCACGCTTGGTTTTCATGACCGAAAAAGTGGATAGAGCCAACTGAGAGCCTCACATGAAAGATCCAGGTGTAGGTTAGCAGTTTAAAAGTTTGCTCACATGGTCAAAAAAAAGGGCTGAAGATATACAATAAAAGAAGTCCAGATGGAAAAACCTCTAAACAGGTTAAAGTGTGTTTAACAATGTGCATAGGCTTAAGAAAAGAAAAAGGCTATAGTCATAGAAAGAAATCAATAGTTTAAAAGTAGTAATAAAGTCTTTAAAGAGAGAGTAAAAGTAATATAAGTAATATAAAAGAAAAAAAACTATGTAAGATAGGAAATACACAGGGAGTCTGAGTCCTGTATGTTATTGAGTTGATTTTGAATTTTTTGATTGTTGAAAAGCAAATGACAGCTGCAAAGAGACCTGGAATTGAAAGAGAGGTTGTTGAAATAAATCAGCCTATATACTCTAGGAATTCTTAACTTTTAAAAAGTTAAAAAATATATTTGTCAAATGTAAATCAAAAATGCTTTTTTTTTGTTCCCATAGGAGACAAGAGGCTGCTGATTCCTTCAGGGTTAATATGGATCAGGTTTGATCAGGTGAGACCTCCTGAAACTTGGCAGGTTATATCTATTAACAAAGGTTACTGTTGGTCTTCCCAGGACTCGGTTATTATCTCAAAATTTTCTCTCTGGGAATTTAAAGATACTTCATCCACAGACAGCAGAAAGCAGTTTAGAGAATACAATGTCAACATTCTCAAGGTGTTGTGAGAGGCTTTTGGTTATTTTTTGGGTTATGGATGTTTATTATCATTTAGGGGAAAATAGTATATTGACATAGATTTAAAGTTATTTTTGTTATACAGTATATATGTTTCTACCCTTGTTTAAAGGATTTTTGTATATTGATAAAAATTTAAGGTTATTTTTGTTACAACATATTGCATATATGTTTCTATTCTTGTTTAAGGTAATATACTTATGCAGTTCATTTAAAAATGTAAGGTAAAATTCTTGTTTTTGAAAGCTGTTATTATAAACTATATAGGATAATCAGGAAACATAGGTTAGTGTTTAATCATTTATAACAATCAAAGTTGTAGATATGTTAGGTATGCTTTCAGGATCATATAGAGATATATTTTAGATAAATGGTCTTCAAATACTTCAAAGACCTTTAGAATATGGCTTTAAAATGTTTTGTTAAAATTTTTCATGACAATGAGACACATCTGCTCCTAGTAGCACCAATTTACTCCAGAGAAGATGATAGGCATTGAAGAAACACCTTATGGAGTTTGCTTTCATTGTGGCAAGGTTAGCCACTAGGCAAAGAAACTGCTCTTGTCTTTGATTGCTGACAATGTGCTGTGCAGACTGGACATGCAGGACACATAGGAAAAAGACTATTGAACTTTGCCAAAACATGGCAGGACAGTCCTTCAAAATTCCTGCTCCACAGAAGAGTCCACCAGATACTCTAGGCCTGTAGACTGAAGATAGATGCCCCAACATTGCAGAGGGAACTCTGGATGACTATCCAGGCAGTCAGATGTCTCTGTCATTTCTAGAGTTTTGGAAGCTGTTTGCAATGCACTTTTTGTTTACTCAAATAATATTATCCTTCTGAGTTTTTTGATGGAGTTGAAGACTAGATAGTTATAGTTGTAGTTTTCTTTAGTTATGATAGAGAGTAAATTAAGTATAAAACTTTAGATTCATTAAAATAGGATAGATAATGAAGTATTTTCTTTTAATTTGCCAGACACAAATGAACTGGAATTAATTACATTGTCAGTGTAATCTTTACTTGATAATTAGTCTTATTGTATACAGTCTTATTATGTTAAAGTTAAAACCTTTAATTTTTTTCTATTTAGACAAAAAGGGGAAAATGTAGAATACTATTTTAAGGCATGCTACTTTTGTTTATGCTCTGGAGCATTTGTTTAATGATGCAAAGATGTGTTTGATTAAATAAAATTCACCTGTGGTCAGGAGGCTGAGTCAGCAACTACCTAACAGGAAGTGGTAGGGAGGAACAGGTGGAGAGGGGTTTTTAAGTAGGGGTGAGGAGAAGCACGAGGGCTTTTTTGGGAGGCCTGAGCAAGGAGAAGAGGTGAGCTACTTGCTATTCAGCCTCTCTGAGGAGCAGAATTCTACCTCAACCTTTGAATCTTGACTTCTTTAGAGCGACAGAGATTTAGTTAAGATTCCTTCATAGCTTTGAAAGAGTTGGAGCCTGAGGGAACAGCATTCCCTCCAGCTCTGGCTCTAGAGGCAGCTGAGTTGCGGTTGCCGATTTGGACAGCTGTGGCTTAAAAGGTAGCAGCAATTGAAAAAAAAGACAACAGATAATGTAGCTGAAGTTTTCCTGTCCTCGCCCTGCACCAAGGTCCCACAGCCACTTTTAAAATTCCTGTGTCCTGCCTGGTCCTGCAATCGCACAGATCCAAGTAAACACACACAGGCTAACACTATTTTTAAACTATGGCCCTGGCAGGCTTCTTGTTATCTAGTTCTTATATCTTAAATTAACCCATTTCTATAAATCTATACTTTGCCACGGGGCTCATGGCTTACTGATATCTTTACATCTTGTTTCTCATGGCGGTGGCTGGTAATGTCTCCTCTGCACTCTTTTCTTCTCCCCTGTCTCTCCAGTTAGAATGTTCTGCCTCACCTAATTCTGCCTCACCATTGGCCAAACAGCTTTATTTATCAACCAATCAGAGCAACATTTTTTTCACAGCATACAGAAAGACATTCCCATCAAGATAACCATCTTGGTTTATCCAAGAATTTTAGATCTAAATTGGGAAAGTCCTACACAAACTGATACAAGTTGTTCACTCTAAGGGTGAGTAGGCCAGATCCTAATAAAAGTACAGTGTGAAGGAGTGAAGGTCTCTGCCATTTCCATTTATTTCCAGCTGTGTTCACTTGGGAATTTGAGGAGAGGTGGGGAAATTACATGCCACCCACAGACTGCACCTCTTTAACAGAGGTGACCAGAATCATTGCCATCTTGCATAGTAGAAATGTTGAAAAGTACTATTTCCAATCTCCAGTGTTTTCTATGATGCTGTAAAAGGAAAATAATTAAATCTGTTCTTTGACAATTTCATATGTGCATACAATGCCCACTGATTACTCCTACCCCCTCTATCTATCTTTCCTCTTTTCTGCAAATGTACTTCACACATTTCATGTCCATTTGTTTTTGTTTTAGGGTAAAGCCAGCAGGCCTGGATGGACTCTATTCTGCCACCCATTGACTGTATAATGGAAGGCAATTTGCTTCATGAAACTCTACCTCCTTTTCAGGAACAAAATTAGCTCTTAACCATAAAGCAATTCAAATAGCACCTAGCATACAGTAAAGATTAAGTACAAGTTAGTCTTCATTATAATTAGTTTTCTTTTTAGATTATATATGTAGAAATACTTAATTGGTGGATGAAGACTTTTAAAGTTTGTAGCTTTTTGTCGGATGGTTACAACTGGCCTTGTATTTTTGGTCTTTAAAGACCTCAAGATTGCTTCTTGCTTTGTGGTAGATGCTGGCCAAAGGCTCATGGAAGTGCTTTCTGTTGTGGACATAGCCCTGAAATCTTGCCTCTTCATAGCTTTTGTTTTCCACAGATCCTTAATGACCCATGATTCTTTGATGTCAGTATCTTTTGCCAGCACCCTTTTAAAAGATCCCCTTTTCCCTAAATTCTCAGACTTCACTACAGCAGTGAATAAATAGGCGGGGCGGGGGGGGGGGGATCACTAGGCTAAGAAACCTGGACATTTGAGAAATGCCTGAACTGAGCCAAACCCCTCACATCAGACCCTTCCTGCCCCACAGTCAGCCTTCTGTGGCAATAGCAGTTAGTTAATGTTAGGATGCTTTTTTGCATGCTCCACATGCATTCGTCTTAGCTTTCAGATCCCCTGTAAATTGACTCTGAGTGTCAGAAAGCGCTTTCTTTTCAATTCTAGATGACTACAACAGGCAGAGATTCAACCCTCTCCAGTTTAGAAGCTCTGCTTGGCATGTGGGATTTTGCTCACAGGAAGCGCAGTTTCTGTTTGAGGATCTCATCATGAGCCTGACATTTCCCCACTCACATTCTAACTAGGTACTGCTTTTCTAGACGATGTCAGTCTTCTCTGCAGAGGGAAAGAACAGCTGGGTTTCTGAACGTCTGAATCACAAATCCTCTTCTGTCACTGTGGCACTGGGACCCGGGGACCAGCTTAGGGAGAACGTTGTTTTCCCCAGTTCACACAGAGCTATGCCTGGAGATGTCCACATCAAAACGATCCCTTTCCTGTTTGTGAAACAGTAAAGGCCTCAGATCCTTATCGGTGTTCTCTCCTAAATAAATGAGAGTAGCAGGGAACCATTTTGCTTCTTTGATGCCGTGAAGTGAGCAACTTTGCTCCATTACCACCTCCCAAGCGTGATGTTCTGCCTTATTATAAGAGGCCTGAATGCAGTGGGGCTGAGTGATCACAGATCTCTGAAACTTTGAGCCAAATAAACCCATCCTTTTAAATTATTCACCTCATGTATTTTGTTACAACAGAGGCAGCAGGCTATGAGTGTCTTCATACACTTAGATTATAACTGGTAAAGTAACTCTTCGCATAAGATACCTGAGTGCTGATATAAACAAATGAAGACATACATTTAAATTGGCACAGTAGGTAGCCCTTTAAAAATGAATTACCTCCTCAGTAAAAACTTTTTTTGAGACTTATTTGTATGTGCATGGGTGTTGTGCCTGCATGTTTATATGTGTACCACAGGGGTGTCCTGCAGTCAAGGTCAGAAGAGAGCATCAGATCCCCTGGAATTGGAATTACATATGGTTGTTAGCTACCTTATATGCTGGGAATCAAACCTGGTTCTTTGGAAGACCAGCCAGTGCTCTTAACCACTGAGCCCAACATCAATTTTTCTTAATTTTTTTTTTCTTTGGTGTGTGTATGTGGACATGGATAAAGGTCATAAAATAAAAACATGATCTGTATGAAGTGTCCAGTGCTAACTATACTTCTATAGCACAACTCGTATACCTAAGACTCAGATAGTGTCATGGAAAAGGGGGCAGAAAGATTGTAAGAGCTAGGGCTCAGGACACCTCCTGATAGATAGTGTCTTCTGTATATGACAGGAAAGCTGGCCTCATGAAATCTCAATAATATGGCTGCTTAAACAAGACCGGCACAATGACAACACCAGTTAGTAAGCCAGTGTGGCCTGGAGAAATCTCACAAGGCCCAACACCTAGAGGAATAATTACAGGCAATTAATAGCTGCTGAGAGGGTGGGGGAGAGTCAGTCTTATACAGACACATATTCCCTGAAAAATTATCCAATCTCCACTGCTCAGCCCTGAACATGTACACATATAAGCAACACTAAATGGACTAAGTAGGTTACATGTATGTTATGTACATTTAACAGTGATAATTAAAGAAGAAGACAATAATTTGAGAGGGAGTGAGTGTGGGTGTGGGAAAAATTGGAGGAGGGAGAGGAAGGGGTAGAAATGACAATACAATACTCTTGTGAAATTCTCAAAAAACAAATTAAAAAA